GGGTTTTTTGATGCCTCAAATCATGCCCTGTCTAGGACACGGTGTGAGAGATCTTTTTTTATACCATCTCTCCTCATGTTTTCTTCCCTTTTCTCATCTAAGCAAAATATTATTCTGAATAAGAATAAGCGCTTTTTTATAGTAGCAGCCTTGTGCACTCCGCCCATCTTTCGGACAACTGTACGTACATGTTCTCGTTGTATCTCGGTGCAATGCCAATAAAGTTTATTCTGATTCTGGTGAGTGGAGGGAGACATTTTATCCAGCGTTGCATACAGTGGAGGAGCCAGGGGGTGGCCAATGGTGGCTTTGCCCACTACAGATTAATCTTTGCCCTCTCAAACATTTGAGGAAACTTTATTTTTAGGAAATATAAAATCTAGAAAGCATTGATTTCTCAAACGATAACAGTGGTCAGTTTACATATAAACCGATTTTTGATGGTGACCTCAAAATGGAATTTGGAAAGTTGCTTACCGTACTTATCCAGCTCACAAGGTTAACGTTTATACATATACGTGGCAGCCATCTTGGATTTTGACCTGGTAACCCAGTTTTTAAATGGAACCTTTTTTAAGCCTAAATGAAGCCACAAATCAAAATGGAAGTTGGTACCCCACTTATCTTCTCGTTATCGTGCTCACAACATGTGCAGGTGGATGGACAAATGGACGGAGGGTACAAACCAGATTCCAAAAAAGTTGGGACACTAAAGAAATTGTGAATAAAAACTGAATGCAATGATGTGGAGGTGCCAACATCTAATATTTTATTCAGAATAGAACACAGATCACAGATCCAAAGTTTAAACTGAGAGAATGTATCATTTTAAGGGAAAATCTGTTGTTTCCGAATTTCATGGCGTCAACAAATCCCAAAAAAGTTGGGACAAGTCCATTTTTACCACTGTGTGTCATCCCCCCTTCTTCTTACAACACTCAACAGACGTCTGGGGACAGAGGAGACCAGTTTCTCAAGTTTAGAAATAGGAATGCTCTCCCATTCATGTCTAATACAGGCCTCTAACTGTTCAATCGTCTTGGGCCTTCTTTGTCGCACCTTCCTCTTTATGATGCGCCAAATGTTCTCTATAAGTGAAAGATCTGGACTGCAGGCTGGCCATTTCAGTACCCGGATCCTTCTCCTACGTAGCCATGATGTTGTGATTGCAGCAGAATGTGGTCTGGCATTATTGTGTTGAAAAATGCAGGGTCTTCCCTGAAAGAGATGACGTCTAGATGGGAGCATATGTTGTTCTAGAACCTGAACATAGTTCTCTGCATTAATGGTGCCTTTCCAGACATGCAAGCTGCCCATGCCACAAGCGCTCATGCAACCCCATACCATCAGTGATGCAGGCTTCTGAACGGAGCGTTGATAACAACTTGGGCTATCCTTGTCCTCTCTGGTCCGGATGACATGGCGTCCCAGTGTTCCATAAAGAACTCCAAATCGTGACTCATCTGACCACAGAACAGTCTTCCATTTTGCCACACTCCATTTTAAATGACCCCTGGCCCATTGCAAATGTCTGAGCTTGTGGAGCTTGCTTAGAAATGGCTTCCTCTTTGCACTGTAGAGTTTCAGCTGGCAACGGCGGATGGCACGGTGGATTGTATTCACTGACAATGCTTTCTGGAAGTATTCCTGAGCCCATTCTGTTATTTCCTTGACAGTGGCATTCCTGTTTGAGGTGCAGTGACGTTTAAGGGCCCGGAGATCATGAGCATCCAGTAGAGTCTTACGGCCTTGACCCTTACGCACAGCGATTGTTCCAGATTCTCTGAATCTTTTGATGATGTTATTAGGGATGCACCGATCCACTTTTTTAACCTTCCGATCCGATCCTGATATCTAAATATCGGCCGATACCGATCCAGTTCCGATATCATGATCATCATTGATTTTATATGAGGCTGTAATAATCTCCTCTCAAGTACAATTTGTACAAATATATGCATGCATGTCCAAAAAGGCAACTTGAGGTAAGTTTTATTAATTTTGGAGAAGTTTTAAAGTTAGAATTAAATTCTGCTAACACAAAACATGTTTCTTTTTATTCCTAGCTTTAAAGTGGATATTAAAGTGATTAATTTAAGTGATTGTTTAAAGTTATTTTATATTTTTTTAAATAAGGGGCAGGTATAAGAATTTTTTTCTTCTTTCTGCACTCTTTTCATTTAATATTTTCTTTTTCATGATTTTTTATTTTTATTTTGTTTCTTTTAAATGAATGAATTAAATTAAATAAAATGGCTTCAAACACCTGGAATAAACCAACAGGCATGTTTCTGTTTTTAGTATTTTACATCACTTTATAATGTAGCTGTTTGTTTTTAATATATATAATTTTCAAATCATGTTTTTTATGATTGTCTACTGTTGTACTGATAAATATCTCCTGGAGGGTAAACTATATCTTGACTCCAAGTATCAAGCTGAGAAATCCTTCGTTTTCTACAACTGATAGTGGCTGGTCATTAATTATGATGAAGTTTAGCAACTTCTCTGTAAACATTTGAGCTCCGTGGTTTCAGCGACGTCTTCTTCTTGTTCAATCCGAAGCAAGCAGCCTGATTTGGGGCAGCCGTGCTCAGTCTGTCCCTCCTCGGAGACGGACAGACTGAGCGGGGCAGATTGGACACGGCTGGCCGGTGTCGAGTCGCCTTTTTCGGTTTGACCAAAGAGTAGCGCCCTGCTGAAGCCACGGAGCTCGAATGTCCAACGTAAAACTAACTTTACCGCCATTTAATGTGGCGCTATGGCTCTGCAGACATTGCACATTGCTGTCTTGTTTTGTGGTATTTCTAGTGTAAAATACTTCCACACAGCGGACATGTTTAGATGAAAAGTTTGTTAGCTGTTAGCCACAGTGCTGCTAACTCAGCCCTCACGTTGTAGCTGGCTGCAAACTATGAACTGGATTTCCTGAATGTGAGGCGGGTCTTATTACTCTGGGTTCATGAGACACGCCGCCGTTCAGGAAATCCATTCCATAGTTTGAAGCCAACTTGCATCATGGATTGGAAATATCGGCAGGTGGATCGGAAAAATCCGATACGTAAATTATGCTGGTATCGGAGGCCAATACCGATACTGGATTGGATCAGCCCCATCCCTAGATGTTATGCATGGTTGATGATGATAACTTAAAAGTCTTTGCTATTTTACGCTGGGTAACACCATTCTGGTATTGCTGCACTATCTTTCTGCGCAACAATGGTGGAATTGGTGATCCTCTTACCATCTTGGCTTCTGAGAGACACTGACACTCTGAGAAGCTCTTTTTATACCCAATCATGTTGTCAATTGACCTAATTAGTGTTAATTGGTCTTCCAGCTGTTCGTTATATGCTCAATTTCCTTTTTCCAGCCACTTATTGCTACTTGTCCCAACTTTTTTGGGATTTGTTGACACTGTGAAATTTTGAATCAACATACTTTTCCTTTAAAATGTTACATTTACTCAGATTAAACATCTGTCATCTATGTTATATTACGAATAAAATATTGACATTGCCATCTCCACATCATTGCATTCAGTTTTTATTCACAATTTGTTTAATGTCCCAACTTTTTTGGAATCCAGTTTGTATTTACAATTCCCCCTCTTTGCTCCATGATGGGACAATAACCAACCGTCATCTTAAATTAGCCAGTGAGTGATCTGCAAGAAGTTTGTACCTCGACCTAAACAGCAAAGAGGCCAAAAGATTCAATTAAGTAACTGAATCTTAATAAAATAAACTTAATTAAAGAACTTGTCCAGATAAAATGATTTAACCTTTTTGGTGATTCAATTAAGACTTTTTTTTATGGCTAAACTACAGTTTAGATGACAAACCACTGACGGATGACAGTTTGTCAAAGACTACATTTTAACAACCCATTACCTCATTCAGGAGCATCTCTAAATCCCATTTCGTAAATTCCTCTTTTACCCACCATGCTGAAATGATTTTTAATCAGTGCAGAGAGGAAAATCACAAACACAGGACATACAGCGCCTTGTGAAAGTATTTGGCCCCCTTGAACTTTTCAACCTTTTGCCACATTTCAGTCTTCAAACATAAAGATATAAAATTTATTTTTTTTGTGAAGAATCAACAACAAGTGGGACACAATCGTTTAGTGGAATGAAATTTATTGGATGTGTCAAACTTTTTTAACAAATAAACTGAAAAGTGGGGCGTGCAATATTATTCGGCCCCCTTGTGTTAATACTTTGTAGCGCCGCCTTTTGCTGCAGTTCCAGCTGCAAGTCTCTTGGGGTATGTCTCTATCAGTTTTGCACATGGAGACACTGAAATTCTGCCCATTCTTCCTGCAAAACAGCTCGAGCTCAGTGAGGTTGGATGGAGAGCGTTTGTGAACAGCAGTCTTCAGCTTTTTCCACAGATTCTCGATTGGATTCAGGTCTGGACTTTGGCTTGGCCATTCCAACACCTGGATACGTTTATTTGTGAACCATTCCATTGTAGATTTGACTTTATGTTTTGGATCATTGTCTTGTTGGAAGATAAATCTCCGTCCCAGTCTCAGGCCTCTTGCAGACTCAAACAGGTTTTCTTCCAGAATGGTCCTATATTTAGCCCCATCCATCTTCCCAACAATTCTGACCATCTTCCCTGTTCCTGCTGACGAAAAGCAGGCCCAAACCATGATGCTGCCACCACCATGTTTGACAGTGGGGATGGTGTGTTCAGGATGATGAGCTGTGTTGCTTTTACGCCAAACATATCGTTTTGCATTGTGGCCAAACAGTTCGATTTTGGTTTCATCTGACCAGAGCACCTTCTTCCACATGTATGACTTCCGGTAAGATGGCGCCCGTGTACTTGGCTTGCAATCCACCTCTGCTAATGGTGTTCGGATTATTTGTGTTTTTTTCATTTTTTATCTGGGACATAAACTCGCTGCTGGTGAATGACCGACAACAGCTTCTGGATCTTCCGTTTTTCTGCCGCCGATGTCGCTTATTTGGACCAATATGAGCGTACCTCTGGACCCCCCGCTGCTGGCGAACGTGCCATTTTACCTCCGCTGTGCTCCTCACCACCCTGCCCGGACATATCGCTCCAGACGCTGGGGAAAACTTGCTGGGCGGCTGGTAAAGCTTAAAGCTCTGCGAACTGCATCTTCCTCTTCAGCTGGTGGTCATGGTCTCCATCGCCAGCTTCCCGCATGCCCGGACCAGGTAAACAACGAGAGTTGTTGGTCGGTGCGAAGCATGGGCCGACCCGGAGGGGCTGTTATTGAAAACCTGCGGCCATTGACGCGCGCAAACTCCACCGCTGCTGGTTCCATTTTGGACAATATCCGGATGTGTTTGGTCAACGCAAGATCTATTACCAACAAAACTTTTATCCTCAGGGACTATTTTCAAGAGCACGAGTTGGATTTTTTCTGCATCACAGAGACTTGGATGTCTCCGGGTGAGTCCAGTGCCTTGACGGGATTATGGCCACGGAACTGTCTGTATTTTAACGCACCACGGCCATCAGGCCGGCGAGGTGGTGGATTATTAACAATATTCAAATCAACTTTTGACTGTAAACACCTGCCCATCCCAGTTTCCCATGCCAGCTTTGAGCTGAGCGTCTTTGAACTCGGCCATTCGCCTTCGACGTTATGTGCGCTCGTCTACCGCCCACCTGGATCTAAGGATTTCATAAATGAGTTTTCTGATTTCTTGGCTGAAATCACACCAAAATATAATCATGTTTTCATTATTTAGAACTTTAATTTGCATGTGTGCTGTCAGGAAAAGCCCTTGGTTAAGGACTTTTTAGACTTATTGGACTCATTTAATCTAACTGTGTGTTCCTTGGTCTTCATGATGCTCTCTGCACTTTGAACAGAACCTTGAGACTATGACAGAGCAGGTGCATTTATACGGAGACTTGATTACACACAGGTGGATTCTATTTATCATCATCAGTCATTTGGGACAACGTTGGATCATTCATAGATCCTCACTGAACTTCTGGAGTGAGTTTGCTGCACTGAAAGTAAAGGGGCCGAATAATATTGCACGCCCCACTTTTCAGTTTTTTATTTGTTAAAAAAGTTTGACACATCCAACAAATTTCATTCCACTTCACGATTGTGTCCCACTTGTTGTTGATTCTTCACAAAAAATTAAAATTTTATATCTTTATGTTTAAAGCCTGAAATGTGGCAAAAGGTTGAAAAGTTCAAGGGGGACGAATACTTTTGCAAGGAACTGTATGTGCAGATTTAATGGAGGTGTGTCAGAGGAGGCATCAGGATGTACAAAGGAAAAAGCTTGGATTTATGCAAATGCAGACTCATTCTTTTAGATTTTATATTTTTAAACACACACTCACACACACACACACACACACACACACACACACACACACACACACAC